ATTATGTACATTAGTGGTGACAGGAAAATCTGTGTATGCTAATTGTTATACCTAGAAAAAAAAATTTTTTATACAAGCTGCAAATAAATGCTTGCAGCTCCTATTCCCTTTGGGTCTGAAGTTAACTTTGACTCAGACTATACAATCCCATCCACAAATAAATAAATGATAGCCAGCTAACCCTGTGGAAGAACACAGACAAAAGGCATTAAATTTACAAAATTACAAACTGAGTTGGGTTCCTATTACAAAGAAGCACAATACTCATTTATGGCAAGAAAAATGAACTAAAGTAGACCAAGACTAAATCAGAACTAAGCTAACAATTCTATTGAACCAAATACTGTCATGTTCTCTATCCTAACAAACTTAGCAAGATTTCTAATAACCTTGATCTTTTTGGCAGATCCAGGACACAGTGGATCAACTATGGGACATCTGTGTCAGAAAGACGTTGAGTAGCCAAGTGACCCCGGGTAGTTATTCTCTATTTTCTCATCTGCAGAGCGGGGATTGTGACAGCACTGAACTCATGCGATTGTTGTGAGGATCAAACAAAAATATGTAAAACACTATGTAAACTTTAAAGCTCTACACAAATAATCATCTCAGTATTACACATTTCTAGCAAAGAACCAATTGGTGCATGGGCTACAACAGGGAAGTGGGAGGGGAGAATCAATAAATCTTTAAGAAAAAGCATTTTAATTTTCAAGTTGCCTGAAAATCAAGTACATTCTCTGTGAACATGTGATTATATGAAGAATTCAAAAGTCTTAGCAATTTGCATATTAATTTGTATACTCACAGCACTGAACCAAACATTATTTCAAACATGTAAACAAGTGCTGGGAGAAAATTCTCCACAGAATAAAAGAATCCTAGAGCATTAAAACTGAAAGGCACCTTAGGAATTGTCTAGATTGACTCATTTGTTTTAGAGTACAAAACTGAGATGAGGAAGATGAAGGTGATTTGTTTATTCAAGGACAAACTGTTAGCAAAGCTGAGATTTTTTTTTTTAGGCAATTGGGGTTAAGTGACTTGCTCAGGGTCACACAGCTAGTAAGTGTTAAGTGTTTGGTCTGAGGCTGGATTCGAACTCAGGTCCTCCTGACTTCAGGGCCAGTGCTCTACCCACTTCACCACCTAGCTACCCCCAAAGCTGAGATTTTAATCCAATTCTACTGACCACACAGTACTTTTTCTTTTAATACATCATATTCACTGCCTCAGGATGCTTGATGTCATCAAATTCCCCTAAATTAATTCCACAAAAATGAAATAGCAATCTGTTCAATTGATTATCAGAAAGCATAAGTTCCTCATTTTCAGACAAGACATGCTTCTCTAGTTGCCAATGACAGAAGTGGTTGCTGTAAATATTTATAAAGGATTATTTATGGAACACTTATTTTCCAAAGTCAGGACTTGACTTTATATACTAGAAATATTTTTGGAAAGCCAAGGTCATCTGTTATAGCACAACAAAAACAAGTCACCACAAACTACCTGAGAGCATGAGAAGAAGTACACAGAGGCGCATATCTGGGTTATAAAAGCCCTTTTATAAAGCCATTTTTAAACAAAACAAAAAAAAGTTTACAAAAGAAAAAAAAGATACAGAAAAAGAATAACTTGCTTCATATATTCCAAAAAGAGAAAAAAAGGGGGGGGGCAACAATGCCAACATGCTCAACAATTAAGGGTTTTTTTTTTTTGTTTTTGTCTTTTTTTTTTTAATACAAAATACAAGCAAAGGATATACATACTTAAAACAGAGCTCAGGAGCAGCTACACAGTCCTGGAAACTCCTTCAATAAAAGCAAAGCAGAGTTGGGTTGGTTTTTTTTTTTTCTATGCAGGTACATACAGAGACTGGAATATGTAAAATTAAGTATCACAAAAGACCATCACACAATTCTACCAATGCATGTTGTATCTATAATTCACGAACATGGTCAACAAAATCATGTTCACTTCAACCCTGTTTTATTTAAAATTTTAAATCTTTTTAAATAAAGCAGTTACATTCAAACTTTTAACTTCCTTAGTACCATGCTGAAGGTGTCAGCATTGTCAAGGTATTGCAAGAATGCCCAACCCTCTAGCGTCTGACCATATGTCCAGCAATGCTGCTGAATGTAGGAAAGGCTGTTAATGGTCTTAGGCCACAGACAGAACTCTTCTATCCTTTCCTCTTCAATAGATGGAACTGAACTGGTGAGGAATGGTTTTTGGGTGTCCTTATGGCTGGTTATGTGAAAGCCCCAAATAGGATGACAAATATTACTTGCAAATCGTTGAGCTATGTTTGGCTAACCTGGGTGTCATTCAAGGATTACTGCTTATTGTGAATTAAAACAAAAAACAAACGAAAAAAATCCCTTTGGAGTAGGATATGTAGGGTTTGTTGTGAAGACATGCTTATAGTAAACAAAGTAGTGCTCTTATTTACATTTTAAAAAAACAATTGATTCTGCAGAGGGAAAAAAGTAAAATTCACAATTTCCAGAAGACAGAGGACTCAAATCGTCAGACACATCAAACACACTCACATTCACGCAAAATACTTCTGGGGATTCTATACACGTTATTTGTGGCATAAACTGAGTATTTTTCCCCACCCCACCAAAAAACAAAACAAAACAAAAAAAAAAAAAAGAAAAAAGGAACCAAAAGCCCCTAATCCTATTCCCACCCCCTTTCCCACCCAAATCTAGAAAACCCGCCCCTCACCCTGATATACAAAGCATATGCACAATGGTGACTTTACACCAGTCACACAGAGCATGCTCAGAGAGATGTCACCATTTAGGTCATTGCACTGGCATCGTGGTGGGCTGCATTAGAGGCTTTCTCCAATAGTGGTTGGATACACAAAGTCAGCACCACAGTGAACTTCGTAACTAGGCTTTCAGGGGAAAAAAAATCAAGTTTAAATTTGTGGGTTTAGGATTCTGAAAGAATCTTGGTGGCAGAAAATCCATTCCAAGGCAACTGCCAACCCTCTACACACACATCTCCAACAAAGTGAAGGAGAAATGGGTTTTATTTTCTCTGCAGAATCTTGAAAGTATAAGTATTTTCTTCTTCCAGGACCCAAACTGTTAAATTAGCCTTTAAATTTCCCTCAAAAAAAAAAAAAAAATCCCAAACCCAATTTTCTTCAATACTATGAAGTAGTTTCACACCCCACAATCAGAATGATGTGAAGTAATTTTCTCTAGTTGTGAAGTAACTAGCAAGTTGTAGTATCCTCTGTCCTTTTGTGAATGACTATAACTTACTCATTTCATCATTCATATATATGTACGTATATATGTATGTATGTATGCATGTAAGAAGTATTGAGAAAACAACACAAAGAAACAGAACCTGGGTTTCTTATGTTTTTTCCAAACCATAAGTTTTTTTTTTTTAAATGCAGCCACTGAGCATGCTCAAAAAGAAAAATTCAGCCTTACATTCACTCCTTATTACAACTGACACACACAGTAAAAAGAAGCCATTTTTTTCTCCCACACCTCTAACATGAAATAGTCTGCTCAAACACATGATCATTTTAAAAAGCTTTCTCAAAAGATCCCCCATGCTAAATTCTGTTCTGGTCCTCCAAAGACCCTATAGCCTAACTAAGTGAAGCTTGTTTAAAAAAAAAAAAAAAAAAAGAAAGCAAGCCCAGAGTGTTCTAAAATTCATCTTTGTTACTTTAATGCTTCTTAAGAAGTAAAATCAAGAAAAGCTGTGAAAAATCTTTCAGTGTCATGTTTAGCCATAGTTCTTCAGGTCTGTAAGCAGTATCAAAGACTTAATCTGGCTAGGAGCTCAAAATTCAACTTTGTATTGAATATTTACATGCAAACATCAATAAAAGAAACCCACAGGAAGCCAAACTATTCACAAGAATAAGCTGCTAAATGAGAATTGAGTTTAGAAGCAGCAACTACATGAGTGAAAACATTATTGGCCATCAAAGCTTCTTCGTGGGAATCAATACAAATTTACTCCTTGAGATTCAAACAGCCCTTACAATCTTATACCTTCCCTAAATGGGATAAGATCCAAAACTTTCTTTCTTGGAATTAAAGTGTCAGGAAATGGTATAGAGAGGATGATGTTTTAGAAAGTAAAGTAAAATGTACTGTTTCTGTTATTAAATTTCCTTAGGTCCAATCCCACACCTTCTGGGGAGGGAAGGTAGCACATGTGATATATATAGACTGGTTTCACGATTTTAACTGGATAAACCATCAAGCACAGCAACATATACAGCATGTCAAGGACAACCTACTGTCCAAGAGTCTGGATCCAAAAGGTTCAAAAGAACCACAAAACAGTGTCAGAATGGGCAGCTGAAAAACTGAAGGTAAAAATTATTTTTTTAAAAGGCAAAATTACTTCAAAACTAAATCCACACTAGTCAGAAAACTGTGTTCAGGGGATGACACATAACAGCAAGTTCACGTTTAAATAGCCATCCAACTTTCAAGTGCCACAAGTTAAAAAGACAGTGGACCCTATATATATAAATATATATGTGTATATATATACTTTATAACCATGGACACAGAGTCAACCAATTTGCAAACACTAATGACTATGGTCAACTATACATATACTTCCTTAAGCCAAGGTCACAGTATCAAGTACACCTCAACACTAAGCACCTAGGTTTCCAGTTTGAATTGTAACTATTCCATTAACAGGGTAGAGAATTTAAGGGAATGACTCAAGTTTGATAAAATTAAAAAGCTCAACATTTCCATGGTGAAAACATATGACTTTTAGAGTATAGTTACTCCATCAGGAAATATAGATATTTTTCCAGTCTACCAGAAATGCATATGAAGAATATTTTCAGCTTTTCCAGTCTAAGAATTAACTGTTTTATAAAAGAACCTCCAAACAAAAAACCCAACCTGGATGCACATAAGTAACCTAATAGAAAAGAATAACTCTAATGTACAAGTGGATGACAGTAATACTATGACCAGAAATGTTTATGGAGAATATATTAAAAAAAACCAAATATGTTACACCACCACCAATCATTTTAACATAAGCTATGATTTAGGAAATTCTCCACCCCCATCCCCAAACCCCCAGCTCAAAGAAATAAAATTTAAGAAAAATCACAAATGCTGAAAAGACAAGAGTTCATTTTCACTTCATTCATGGAAGAGGGGGTACATGGACGCATGTGCAGGGGAGCAGGAATTAGCTACTTCTGGACTGAAGCCCAGAATGAAGTTGTACAGCCAAGTTATAAACCCCTAATAATAGAGGTTTGCAATGGAAACACTGATATATCTTTTATTGTAGTAACACAAATAATATAAAAAATGAAGGGTGTGTGTGTATAAATGAAGGGACTGAAACTTGCAGAAACCCACGAATGCAAATTAATCACCCTCATTATAAAGCCCACAGCTATGAACTTAACCATCATACAAAGTAATAACATCTATGCGTTTGGTTCTGCATTAGAAACTCCATGTCTTTTTTAAATGCACAAAGAGGCCATACACTATTTCGAGCATGAGCAGCTAAAAACCAAAGTCTAAAAGCACCTCCTTTGTTGAGCGAGGCCGTTGTTCTGAGAACACTTGCAAGGTATCGACTAAAAGAGAAAATTCTTATAAAGGTCAAAACAAAAAGACAAAACAGCAAGCAAGGTACTTGGGAGAAAATCCCAGAAAAAAAAAAAAGAGGTTCAGTTTTTCCTTTCATTTTAAATTTACTAGTATATCATATCCCTACGCCTTATTTCCATCAGGACTTGAAGGAACAAAGTTTCGGGGAGGTGCAGGGGCTTTCATGAAGGCCTGAAAGATAACAATTAACTGCAAACATGCCTCCTGAATGCTGGGTTGGGTCCTCCCCTCCTCTTCTAATGAACCCATTAAAATTTCAACTTTATTTGATCAACACCTAGACAGAGGGCCAACAAGTCAGGAGCAGCAGTAAGTAGTAAACCCCCATCGGGGGCAGGATGGGAAGAAGATAAACTGTAGGTGAAGAGAAATAATGTCCTAGAATAGGCATGAGGGGGTCTGTGTCCCATATTGCAGAAGGAAGTTCACAGATGTACATACCACATTTCTGGGGAGAAACAGGAGGGTGGGATAGGAAAACATTCTATTCCCAAATTACCTTATGAATTAATCAAAGCATGACTCATGGGATCTGAGCGCATAGATATGCCATAACAAAATTCCACTTCTTAAAGGAAAAAGCCCAACTCTCTGTGATTTAGTTTCACATTAACTGGTTCTTTATTGGCTTAAAACCTAAACATTGTCAGTTTGAGAAGAAACCCACTTTGATGTGGTACAGCAATCTTGCTGTTAAAATCTAAATTCCTCTTGATCCTTGGTAAAATTTATTCTAGGAAAAAGAATAGATACATATTTACTTTAAAAACACGAACCATGGATATTCAGGTCTGAAACAAAGTCACTTAGATTTTGATGCACTTGCTCCCCTGATTTTTAGGTTGAGCATCATTTAACTCCCTAAAGACCTTAGCAGGAGAAAAGGATTTCTTACTGGTTCCTATTCTCCTTGAGATGACCAGGAGTGAAATAGAACAAAACAAAAGAAAACAACAACCAAAAAAAATAATAACAACAAAAAACCCACACCAAAAAGTCATGTGGCCTGGTTGTTCCCAGATGGGGTTAGAAATATGGGAAATTTAAGGTTGTATTCACATTTATCACCTTCCTGCCCAGTCAATGAAAGTTTAGATTCATGATTAAAAAAAATTAATATACACATTTTTGTCCTTGCTGACAGTGATTTTTTTCTTAAATTCAGGTAAATAAGGAACAACCATTTTCATTTGGAATTCTTATTGTTTTCTGGATTCCTGCTCACCTTGGTAACTTTTAGTAAAATTAAAATTCCAATAGGGTTTGCCTCAAATCTTATTGCTTTACCTGTAATAACCCTTCCATTTTTCTTTTTTTAAAGTTAGGTGGTAAATTCATTGGATATTTTGTCATGGCTTTTACCAGAGATTGGGAGAGGGAGAGCAGCCAATAGACAAAGGGAATTTAAAGAAAAAAAAAACATGAACATAAATTTCTCTTAAAAAAAAAAAAAAAAAAAGGGGGTGGGGTGGGGGAATATGCTGTTATCTCTCACCAGAGGGGGGAAATGGAAGGGGGGAAAGCATTCAAAGCCCATGAGTCAAGCCATAGCCAAAACCATGTTCTACCCCTAAGTAGATTTTTTTTCCCCTCTTTTTTTTTTTTTTTTTTAAAATAAAATCTTCCCAAACCATCACTTTTTAATCTTCCCCAGACTGGGCTTCATCTTCAGACCCTTCATCCCCAGACTTCTCTGGTGGAGGGCTGGCAGACTTTTTCTTTTCTGGGGGGCTTTCTGGCTCCTCATCCTCTTCTTTAGGGGAAGGAGTCTTTTCTTTTGATGCCTTTGATGCTGTGGGACGGCCCACTTTTCCTTTGCCTTTCACTGGACTTGGTGTCACTGAAAGAAAAAGAAGGAAGGATTGAGGAAGGAAACAGAAGTAAAAACAAAAACAAGTCATTCATGAGGACTAGCTACCCCTAAAAAAGGAAAAAATAAAAATTCTACAGAGCATTTCCCAAGGTCACATGACCACTCACCCGACCCTCAATTTCTAAACTCAAAACCAGTCATGATAAATAGCTACACATTTATTGTAAGAGAAAACCCCTCTACTTTATAAAAACTCACAAGATAGAACCCTCCCATCTCCACTTCCTCATCAAACTTCAGTTTTGTCAAAGTAAAGTGTAAACTTTCCTATCTATCTCCTGGTATAGGAGGAGCTGGGTGGACACTTTCTAACATGGTCTCTGAACCTTGATACCAGGGTTCCTATCTGCCCAACTTGCACAAGATGGCCAGCCCACAGCCTCAGACATGGCCATTATTTAGTGTAGCATTTATGTACTTCTTTACCATTTAACTCTTTACCATTTAACACGTATGAAACTAGGATTTTGTTTATGCCTATCTTTTTAATGTGTCAATGAAGACATTTTTAAGCAGTATCCTTGGACTCCATTTCCCCATGAGCCCCACGTGTTTTTATTGTACAATTTTGCATGATATGGTACTGTTTGGGAATGCGTATGTTGTGTTACAGAAGAGCTGACTGCATATCATTCAGTGACTCACTGAATGAACTAAAAAAAAATATAATCTAAAAGTTAAAAACTGAAAATGATAATCAAAATGAGGTCTTGGTAAACTGGTAAATAACAGCATGATAAAACTATAAACACAAAGCGCAAATTCAGCACTGCTATGAAGCGAAGGAAAAACTGGCTCTTATCTGCGTGTGTGAGCATAGATGTGAGACAGAAACCTCAAGGGATTAAAACAAAGCCATGCAGCTTTAGAGGTAGTTAACATTTTAATTTTTATGATGTATGCCTGCACATTTTCATGATTTCAAAATTTTACTAGTAGTTTAGGAATTGGTATTTTATCACCAATACCAAAATCAAACAAAATTAAAATTAAATGCCTCCGATTCCTGGAAGGATTGTAGTCATTATTCCCTAAGATACATCCTTTCCTGAACTAGACACTCATTCAGTCAAGTCTCATTTCTATAACAGCCATGAAACATTGCATTTCTTGCATTCTTTTTAGGTTAGCTAGCTCAACATCAAGTCCTAATGGAGAATTTCTGCAGATGAAAGTTTTACTAGTTCTTGAATGATTATTTTTTAAAAAGAGCATGTTGGTTTCCCCAGTACTGAGCTCACCTGTAGCCTTTAGCCTAGGTTTGGGCATTTTCTTTTCTTTCCTTTCAGGCTTAGATTTCTTCACGATCTTTTTGTTTTTCTTTTTTGAACTTCCATAATCACTATCATCATCATCTTCCATTAGGAAGTCTTCATCACTGCCAGAATCTTCTGAGGAAAAGGAAAAATTTCAATGCCTGGCTTAATTTATATACTGTTCCAAGTGAACAAAGACAGGCACTAGGTAATAGAGCATGGAATTTGGGAGCCAAACATTCCTAGATTCTACCCCTCAGCTGCACAAGTAACCTGCTAGGTGGTATCACTGGCCCCATCTGTAAAATGGTTATAACATGCACCTCAATGGGGGTTGCATGACTGACTTGTTTGAAGAGAAGATCAACAAGAGGGGAAAATTTATAAAACCTAACATGAACAGAAAGTGCTGTTATTAGTTAACTACAGAATACATGGCAAAAAGAAATACATAAGATTACCCAAACTGAGATTTATAAAATATCTATATGCTATTAATAACATATCTAAGAGGGAAAAACCCCACCCCTATAAACCACCAACATATTCTTATGTGTAATTATTACTTTAAGAACATTTTTAAGAGTAGAAGACATACATATTTATGAGTCAGTCCTAGTCTTACGACTAAAACTAGGTACAATCGCTTAACAGGATGCTGAAAGCCCCCAAATATCTCCAAATCTCCATTTGGTGATCCTGAGGCTCTAAGAGGGAGTTATTATTTGAGGAACTGGTATCTGGGTTTGCCATTCCTAAGACAATAGTGATCAAAGTCACACAACTGATACTCCAGTCACTCTGACTTACTCTCCTGGAAAGGTGCCTCCTCCTCTTCTTCTTGTTCTTCTTCACTGCCCACGTCTTCCATGAGCATTTCTCTCTGCTTGGAAGCCGCTTTTGATGCTGCCTGACGCTGTTGGCGAACACTTTTGTGATCTTCTTTTTCATCTTCACTATCCTCTGCAACATTAAAGCCACAACAATACAATGATACAAAATGCTTTGATTCCAGTGGCTAACTAAGGAAAGAAATATATTCTTAGCCAATATGGAATTTAAAAATAAAATATGAAGAAACAAAGGACAGCTCACAGCTTGTTAGATAAAAGGGTGTGATCAAATTTGTTTGGTTACACAAGAACACTACCAGTACTTAATTTATATGTGCAAAATTTAATTCATTTAGCTTAACTGAATAAAAAGGTCAAATCTGAAAATTCTCAGTATCAACTTCAACAGCCTGAAATTCCAAAAATAATGGGCTTAAATAGTACTATCACTGCAAATTAAATGCTATGAAGTATGCATTTGTAGACCAGTGGTATCAAACTTAAATAAAAACGAGGTCCCTGCTAACCAAATACTGGTTTAGAAAACCACATATTAACATTAACTATGCTGTACTGTACTTTCATTTATTGTTAAACATGTCCCAATTACATTTTAATCTAGTTTGCATGGCAGTTTTGCAGAGTTTGACACTTCTATTGTAAATAACATTAAAAGGGTAAACCTGAAGAAAGTGAACTTCCAAAAATGGAAACTATGGCTCTCATTTGTTCTTTCCTAAAATTCTGAATCACAATACATTGGGCTATTTTAAAGATCTGGGAAGTTTAGGTTAGAAAAAGATGTTTGTGAGAATAGTAGAAAAGTGAGAGATAACATTTTTTTTTTAACAGACCTCCTAAGAAGTAACAAGAAAGAACATTTGAATGGGAGTTAAAAGATCTGATTTCAACTCCTGGTTCTGTTGTTTACTGATGAATTAACCTCCAACAAGTCATAACCACTCAACCCAGGAGTTCTCATTTATAAACAGAGACGAAAATATTTGTCCTTCCTTGTCTCACAGGGTTGTGAGGATTTAAAGATAGAACATACATAAAAGTAAAACATATAAACTCTTATTATTGCTGTTAAAATATAAAGTGCTTTAAAAATCAGTAAATGTGATACACATTAAAATTATTATTACAAGTCTGACAAGTTTTTTAAGCTGGGAGATTTTTTTTTAAAATAAATTTTTATTGATGTATTTTTTTTTATTATTATAGTTATCTCTAGTATTCCTCCCACATGGGAACTATCCCATAACAAATAGTATTTTTAAAAGGCACAAAAAAAAGAGGAAGAAAAAATCAGCACAATGGAGCGAGGTCTGAAAACACGGACAATATGTCACACCAATGGACCTTCCACTTCTACAAAGCAGTAGGTTACGAACGTCCTCTCATATCAAGTAATGATTGATTTATAATTTTGTTACATTTATTTTTGATTTGCTAGCAGATCTTAAGATACTGTAAACGAGGGGCAGCTAGGTGTCGCAGTGGATAGAGCACTGGCCCTGAAGTCAGGAGGACCTGAGTTCAATTCCAGCCTCAGACCAGACACTTGACACTTACTAGCTGGGTGACCCTGGGCAAGTCACTTGACCCCAATTACCTAAAACTTAAAAAAAAAAAAAAGATACTATAAATGTCAAACTGTCAATCAACGAGGAATATGTTTTTTTTTTTAATATTTGTATCTTATATATCACATATAGAATATACTTTGTATGTATAAGGAAAGCTTTTAAACTTTTCACTTACATTAAAAATCAAGTAGTGTAGTACAACTGTACTGATTAAAAAACAAAAAATAAAGCAGGTCCCTTCCACTGGTTAACACACTTACTTAAAAATCATCCAAAGGTAGCTATTCCTGATTAAGTCAGGCTACAGAGCTGGCTGCTGGCCCTACAACACAGAGTCAGGTATCCCTGTACTGGTGATCACCTGCAACCCTTTCCCTGGATTTGGAAGCATGCTTCTTCTTTTCCAGTTTGGCTTTTTCCCTCTTTGGAGGGCCTCTTTTGGGAGCATTTGTCAGTCTTGCCATCATCATTAGCTTTGAAGTCTTGTCACCTTTAATGCTCAAATTTTCTTACCAAGAGAATGAAGGATCCCCTGTCACCACTTACACAAAATTTAACCTACCAAGCTGGGAATCATGATTAATGCCAATAGAGACAGCATCTTGTATCCTTTGGGCACTCAAGAAAATATTAAAGAATTAAAATTTTGGTTTGTGGTCCAGCTGGGAGGTGGTTATCCAATAAAGTCATAGGTGAATGTTATAGGGACAGAGCTCACTAGGTAGAACACTAAAGGTTAACGCAATTTCTTTTGCATTCAGAAGTATGGGCATTACACCTGGATAAAAATAAAAGTGAAAGTACTTGACAGGTCTGAAGTTGTCAAACCCTTGTCCATATGGTAAAAATGATAAAATTAGTAATCTCATTTGAAAAAGTCTAGCACTGGAAAGGCAGGTAAGAAAAAATATGGCTAAACTCCTTCAATAAAAAAATAAATAAAGAAAACTCATTCAACTCTGGTAAGAAGTGACAAATGTTCACATCCTCTATGACAACAGCCTTCATAAAAAACCTCTATTAGGTTAAGAAGAGTCCAAACTAAGTAACAGAATACTTCAAGTGAAATTCTGATGAAAGTATTGAAGCCATCCTCTGGGAATTCTTCATGAGAGTGGCTTTCTAAGTGAAGACAGGAAAACTAACATTTCTAGTAAACCTAACTACACAAATACCTGGTGAGTGTGAATCATCCTTCTTGGTCTTCACATCTTTTTCTTCAGAGTCCTCACTGTAGGTACAAAAAATCATGTTAATAAGCTCTGAAAAGGCTAGGAATGACTCAAGGAAGACTAGATACTCTGGAATCTGACATGAACAAAGTGTTGAAGAGTACCACTTTTTGCCAGAAAGAACTAGAAATAAAATGGATATCCATTAATTGAGAAAGGATAAACATTATGGTATATTAATATAAATAGAATATTATTGCTCTGTGAGAAATAATGAAAAGGATGAGAAATCTGGGAAGGCTTGTATGAACCAAGAGGGAACCCAGTATAAGGACAAAGTATTGGACTTAGAGTCAGGGAGACCTGCATTCAAATCCCACCTCAAATACTGACTGTGTGATCCTGAGCAAGTCACATAACCTCTATTGCCCTTAGTTCTTCATGTGCAAAATGAGAAGCTGGACTAGATGACCTCGAAGGTTCCTTACAGCTCTCAATTTCTGAGCTATAAATTGATGAAGAATTAAGTGCCTGAACCAGTAGAACAATTTATACAAATGACCACAATAATGTAAAGGAAAATAACTGTAAAAGACAACACAGCAGTAACAAAATGACAATTGCAGAGCAGTGGTGTCAACCTCAAATTGAAACAAGGGCTACCAAACCTTACATAACAATCCCTGTGAAACACACATTAACTTGGAAACCCACATATTAATATTATCTATGTTCTATTGTATTTTTATTTTGTTAAATATTTCTCAATTAAATTTAATCTGGTTCAGGCTGCACTCAGGAGAGCTGTGGGCTACGAGTTTGACACTTCTGCTGTATTAGAACAGATGATCATGTAGCATGTCTCCCACCCATTGTCAGAGAGGTAAAGAACTAAAAAGAAAAAAAAATGGGACATACATTTTCAGACAATGTGTGCATTTGTTTTGCTTGACAAAATCTGCCTTTGTGAAGAATTGGGGGCAGGGTTGGAGATTGTGGGATGGAGTAACAATGATAACAAAAAAGAACATTAATGAAAACATTAAAAAATACACATGAGAGCAGGGGCAGCTAGGTGGTACAGTGGATAGAGCACCAGCACTGTAGTCAGGAGGACCTGAGTTCAAATCTGGCTTCAGAAACTTACTAGCTGTGTGACCCTGCGCAAGTCACTTCACCCTAAAAGTCCCCTCAACACCCCTCCCCCCACCCCAATACACATATGAAAACAGACAGATGGGCAGAAGAGGAGATAAATAGGCAAGGCAGTATGGTATTCCTTGCAGTATATTTGTTATTGTTCAGTTGTTTTTCAGGTGTGTTAGATTCTTTGCAAACCCATTTGGGGTTTTTTGGCAAAGATACTGTAGTGGTTTGCCACTTCCTTCTCCAGCTCATTTTATAGATGAGGAAACTGAGGCAAACTGGTTTAGTGAGTTGCCCAGGGTCACACAGCTAAGAAGTGTCTGAAGGGAAAACTAGATGATGCAGTGGACAGAGCACCAGCCCTTGAGCCAGGGAGTCAGGAGGACCTGAGTTCAAATCCAGCCTCAGACACATGACACTCACTAGCTGTGTGATCTGAGGCAAATAACTTAACTCCAAATGCTTCGCCACCCCCCTCCCTAAAAAAAATTGGTTGAGGCCAGATTTGAACTCAGGCTCAGGAAGGAATGTTCCTGATTCTAGGATCAGTAGTCTATTCACTGGGACACCTAGATGACCCAGTATAGTTAATACACATTTAGAAAACAAGCTATATTTAAGTTTCACATATAATTTGCATTTTTTGTTACCTGTAAATTGACATTTTTATGTCTGTTACATTCAGAAGAAAAGAAAAAGCTACAAAAGTTTCTGTCTCACCCTAGATAGTTAAATTATTATAGAATGAGGGCAATAGATTACTCTTGTATTTTTAGCAGACCATTTACTTGAGAAGTACATAATCCTTTCTAGCCTTTATGACAAATACTGTTTCCAAACACCAAAACAGCAAACAATTCCTCCAAAGAGTACACACTTCTTAGGTATATGTAGGCAAGGCTTCACATACGGGCATAATCTAACAGTAAATGTGAATACTGGAGAGTGACTTTTACAGTGAAATATAACAATGACAGTTTATTCACCTAATATATTTTCAATGAGTACGTCTTTTATGGCTATCTATTTGGAGGTAGAAGGGAAGTTCTTGATAGTAAGATAAATAAGCAACACTGGTTAGCTTAATTTACTGGCAGGTCTATACATCTGCCTTAATTTATTGGCAGGAGACACACAAACAGACATCATTTAGAATATTTTTAAAGGAACATAATAAGCTATACAATCTAAATGCTATTGTATAATAATCTTCTGACCAAGCAAAAGCCAACCTAAAATGAAAGGGTAAAACAATAGAAGATGGAGAGAGGTGTTTTAGAGGTAAATCCATTTCTGCCCTCCCCCCTCAAAAGGAATACATGAAAATAACATGGTACAATGGAAAGAAGCCTAGATTTGGAATCAGAAGACAGAAGTTTTATTCTTGGTTCTGTTACTTTCTGTGTGACCTTGGCCAAGTCACATACTCTCTGGGCCTCTGCTTCCCATTTAGTAAAATGAGGGATGAAGGGATTGGGCTAACTGATCTCTAAGATCACTTACAGCTCTAATACTCTACTATCTTATGATGCTAAGAAAATTAACTAATCTTTTCTCCCCACACTCTGTTTAGAATCCATTTGGCTTCTGACTAATGACTCCCTTAATCTCTTATTTCCCCCCTTTTCCCTTAACCTCTGTCCCTCCTATTTCCTTGTTGGGTAAGACGTCTTTCTGTACCCACCTGTGTTGGTGTATTCTTTCCTCCCTTAATCAGCTCAGATGAGTGAAGTTTAAGTATCATTTGGTCCCCTCCCCCATGACTCTTCCTTGCTATATAAACTCTCTGCGTACCACTTTTACGTGAGATAGTTTTCCTTACTCCTCCTTTCCCTTTCCCTCTCTCCCAGTGTGTTCCTCTTTCCCTCTCTTTCCATTTTTCTGAGATCATCAAAATAAACAGAATCGCTGCCTGGACCACTGTTTAATCAGACCTCCTCTATGACCCTGAGTGGCTACATGTATCATCCTCTATAAGAATTTAAAGCAATTTGACTTGATTAATCCCTTATGATGGCGCAATCATGTTCACTTTTTTATGCTTCTATTGACTCTTGTGTTTATATGTTAAATTTTCTACTCAGCTCAGGTCCTTTCATCAGGAATGCTTGTTTTGTTAAAGGTTCATTTTTCCTCCTGTAGGGGAACACATAATAATATATAGGGAATATATAATAATACTCAGTTATGGTTCTAAACCTAGATCCTTTGTCTTATATAAAACTACATTCCAAGTTCTATCGGCCTTTATCATTGTAGCTGCTAAAACTTGTATGGCCCCCTGGTACTTAAATTCTTTTTGTCTGCTTGCTGCACTCTTTTTTTGTTTTTGTTTTTTGACCTGTGAACTCTGGATTTTGCCTACGATATTCCTCAGAGTTTTTATTTTGAAATTTCTTTCAGGAGGTGACCAGTGGATTCTTTCAATTTCTACTTTGCCTTTTGTTCCTAAACTATCTGACAGTTTTCTTTTATGATTTCTTAAAATATGTCTAGGTTCTTCTTTTTTTTTTTTTTGCTCATGGCTTTCAAAGTAGTCCAATGGTTCTTAAATTATTTCTGTTCAATCTGTTTTCCACGTCAGTTGTTTTTGCTATAGATATTTTACATTTTCTTCTATTTTTCAGACTTCTGACTTTGAGTACTTTTTGATGTCTCATGAAGCCATTACCTTCCATTTGGCCAGTTCTAATTTTCAAGGAGTTATTTTCTTCAGTAAGGTTTTAAACCTCTTTTTCCAAATTGTTAATTCTCTTTTCATATCTTCCTTCCCTAGCTCTTGCTTCTTTTCCCAGTTTTTTTAAATAACATTTTTTAGATATAATTCTTTTAGGAATTCTTGTTGGATTTGTGTACAAGCTGCATTTTTCTTTGAGACTTTCCTTGTAGATTTTTTTCTGATTCATACTCTTCTGCGTCTTTAAGCTTCCTTGTCACCATAATAGCTCTTTATGGTGAGGTTCTTGCTTACTCTTTTAGTATACTTCTTGACTTTGTACTTATGTCAGTGTTGGGCCCTACTGACTCTTTCAGGGAAGGGGTGGAGGTGACTAGTCTGAGCTTCTGTCTTGTCCTTCTGTTGCTTTCATAGCTCTGGCTGGAGGGGGGCTTGTGCCTGTAAGCTTTCCATGCTTCCAAAGTAGTTTCACCTGGGGAGAGACCTGTTCCCTACCTTCCTGATGTGAGTCCTGCAGGTTCTTCACCAGGTCTGGATCTGTTGGCTTGTTCTTGGTTGGGAAAAGAGTTTCAGTGGAAGCTCTGAAAGATTCAGAGCACCTGAACTGCCAGCTCCCCTTTAGTTGGGGAGCTTTGCTTCCAGGATCAGAATCACACAGCCACCAATTGCTTCTGGAACTTTTTCCTTGCTCAGTACACAGCTGGGTCACTGCTCACAAATATTCCTCTCTATCTGGCACTAGGTAGTAGATGACAAAACTGCCAGATGACACCTGATCCCACACCCGGTGCTTGTTCAGGGACCCCTTAGGATTACTTTCTGTGACAGTGCTTCCTGCCTTATCGTGGCCCCCTTGGTCTCTAGGTGCCAGGAGACTCCTGATAAGACTCTATCACCAGGACCTTTAACCTTCTCTGAATCCCAAAGCTGCTCTGGGCTGAAAAAAATGATTCACTCAGAATCCTTCCTGGCCTTCCTGATCAGAATCTGTCTGGTACATTTTTTAGGTATCTGTCAAGGAGATGTGTCAGGTGAGCTAGACTCTCAATGTTTCCTCTCACTCTACCATCTTGATTCAGCCTCCAGAAAATACAAATCCTGAGATTCCTTCTAATCTTAATTCACAATTTGTGTTCTAATCCTGGCTCTGTAGTTAACTGTCAGTTATATGATTCTGGGCAAAGTACTTCACATTTCTCTGTGCCTTACTTTCTATATCTGTCAATGAAGGGATAAGACTGGTTAACTCCTGAGATACTTTCTAGTTTTATAATTCTATGATTGGTAAAAACCAAAGGAATAGATATTCATGCATAATCCCTTTGACTACTACTTTGTTAAAGGCAGTTCTTATTACTAATAAATTTTTGAAAATAAAAGGGCTATTGGCTCTCCTATTCATACTCAAATTATCCTACTAAGCCTAGGGTAACTAACAAAGAGATCAGATTTTTTAAAACTGAGAGTATCATTTCAAGGAAATTTGCCAGTCTGAAAACTGCATATATTTCTATATCTACATTTGTCAATTATTATTTATTAATATAAGACAAACAACTCAAGTTCTAGTAATTCCAAATTTCTATCGCAATTACTAGATCCCTTACAGTTATCTTCAGTCCTCCTATAGTCCTATTTACAGACTTTTAAGGCAAAGCCTAGAACTCTATTAGGGAAAGGCTGATTTTACAGTGGAGGATGCACAAAGGAAAATCAATTTCAATTAGTATGAAGAAATAAATGTAATATACAATTTGGTAATAATTCATTCAATTACCATGGGGCAACAGAGAGATCATTGAAGCAAAGGAAAAATTCTTAATACAGGCCATTGGTAGTAACTGGCAATTATTTACGATTTGCAAGGCATTTATACTATAAATTATATTAACTTGCCCCTCACAATAACCATGTTAAGTACAAGTATTACTACCCTCATTTTAAAGATGAGGAAACTGAGGGTCAGAGAAATTTTAACTTATGATCTTACAACTAATGAGTAATGCTGGCAGGATTTGAATCCAGGTCTTTTCCTGACTCCAAATCTGACACTCTTTCAAACAGGAATCTACAAAAGGAAGAAAAATAAATATTGGATCTAATTGCAAACACTATGCTACATGAGAAGAGGATACCTATAAAGCTAACTCTTCGGAGAACTAATAGTAAATAAGAGCACAGATACTTAATAAAAAAGGTTGGGCTAAATGCAGTCTGGCCTAGAGGCAGAGGACAAATATGTTCCGGGCTGGACAGATTCTGAGATACCTCCCAACTATTAGATTCTGTGATTCCTTCTACTTTTATTTTCTACCCATAAAACTCACTTTAACGATTCTATAAGAAAAGTAAATGAAAATCTTCAGTTTGGATAAGGATAACTAGAGACTAAACTAGAGTAAGACACCATACCTAATATTTTAATTCTTACCAACCTGGTACTTTACTAACTCAAATTGTTTGAACTTTTGTTTGGACTCATTTTTGTGCAATAATTTCAACACTTCAAGGTTAACAACTTAAAATAACTACAACAAATATTTTTTACTTGGTCTTCCTGTCCAGTCAAACAAGACAAGATAGTTTTAATGTCCTTTTTAAGTCAGTCCCCCCCATCATGTTACCTTCTGTTATAAAGGATACCTATTCCCACCACAGCCATTCTCATCAGGTGACCCAGGAGTCCCCCTTTTACTGGTCTCCAATTTAATAAAAGTTACTAAAGTCTTTAATCAAGTAAAAAACATGAAAATATTCATTTATATAATCTCTTATTCTGAGAATGAACTTGATTTTAATAACCTCAATTAACAGTGAATGTTGGAGTTCCAAGTTAGCTATTGATGGGATTAGTGAGGGTTATTAAGTTACTATTAAGACCCAGTTAAGAGTTTCCATAATAAATAATAAATTCTTGCAATGAAGTTGGTTATCCAACTCAGATTCTACAAGCTCCATAGTCATCATCCTAACAGTGATGTAATTTGTGATGTAGACTGGGACAAGCCAGATCATCAATAAAAGGAGACTAGCAATAACTCTGAAGAACTGAAATGAAAAAGCAAAACGGATGTAAAGCATGTTATGTAAACAATGAAGTGGCAAAATAAAGTCATACACTAATGTCTCCATATTTTTCCCCTATGTGGAACTTAACTAAACTTCATGCTTTTCTTACTTCTACTTACAGAAATAACTGAATTTTAGAACTAGAAACAATTAGATGATCTAGTCCAACATTATAATCTTACAGATGCAACTTGGTTCAAGATCTTCTGGTGAACTGAGCCTGTACCCAAACTCAACTCCTTGACTCCTGATCCAGTCCTTTCTATCATAGACCAGAATTTTGAAAATGATCAGAAACAAGCTTGAGTAGTAAAAATTCTGGAGATCCATCCATATAATTTGAATAACTTCAAAAAAAAAAAAAAAGGAAATTTTTCTTAATTAGAAACACTAATCAGGTAATTTGATCTACAAAAATAAATGGTTTAAATACTGGACATATATATCCTAAAAAAAGTCAGAGAATAAAAGATCCTATATATAAGAAAACAATTATAGCAGCACTTTTCATAATGGCAAAAAGCTGGAAAGGAATGAACAAACTGTGGTATAAAATACATAAAAATGACAAATGTGAGGAATTTCTGAGAAACATGAGATGACTTACATGAACTGATAGTGAAATTAAAACCAGGAGGACATGCACAATAACTACAATAATGGAAATTAAAACAACACGTAGGTAAATTCCAATTAACTGCCATGGCCAAGCTAATTCCTGGAGAACAGGTGCTAAAATACACTTCCCTCCTTTTAGAGGCTGTTTTGCTTAGCTGTGTTTCTTTGTTACAAGGGAGGATCTGATGAGGGAGAAGGCACATTAGATAACAAAAAAAAGAGAAGTAGCACCCTTCTTACCTATCTTCCTGTGAATTCTTCCCAGAGCGCCTCTTGTTTTTAGCCTCTCGGGGTGATGATCGGATTTTCTTAGCTGGAGGGGCTGAATCTCTTCCATAATCTTCATCTTAATGGTTAAAAAATGAAATCAATTGTTTGCTTCCTAGGGTAATAATGAGCACCACATTCTTATGCAAGGTGTTCCTTTGCAGAAGATTAGTGAGTGGGATAGGGTTCCCCTAAGACAGGGGGTCTTAACCTTTTTGTGTCTCATGAACCCTCACCCTTAGGCAGTCTAGTGAAGCCTATAGACTCCTTCTCAGGACTAAATGTTTAAATGCATAAAATAAAGTATATAGATTACAAAGTAAATTATATATTGAAATAATTATAAATTAAAAAAAATTTATAGACCCCAACATATTCTATCATTTCAGGCAAATGATTCATAGCTATAATTGCAAAGGGTTAAAAACCCTCTGGATATAGAGGCAAAAGATCTTTATTATAGGAAGAGATTTCTTATATATTAAAAAGCATTAACAGGACTTCAAAAATTGTGCTTATTCAGATAAGCTTATTAAAGAAAACTGTACCAGAAGGCTGAAATCTAAAACAATGAATTATTATTGCTGGTAATTTATATACACATACTATGTGCCAGGCATTGTGCTATAAGTACTTTATAAATATTATCTCATTTGATCCTCACAACAAACCCGGTGGTAGGTGCCATTAGCATCCCCATTTTACAGATGAGGAAACTGAGGCAGAACAATACAAAATAAAAAACCACACACCACGGTTAAGTGACTTGCCCAGGGTCATACAGCTAGTACGTGTCTGAGGCCAGATTTGAACTTGAGTGTTCCTGACTTCAGGTCCAGTACTCTATCCACTGGGCCACTTAGCTGCTTATCTACCAAGAAAAGTAAACTTGAAGAAAATCCATGAGACTTAAGATTCACGCAGATCCTACAAATAGCTTTTCTTTGAACTTAATTATTAACAGTAAAAATATTTTATAAAAGGTGTGAGAAAAAAAAAGAGTATGGAATATTCCATTTGGGGGATTCTTTGCTACAAAGTCTAATGAAACATGACATGCAAGAATAAAAGAAAAACACACAAAAAACAATATATTTTTTCAAGATGTCTATATCACAGAGTTATAAGCTAGGTGGTATAGTGTATAGAGTGCTAGACCTGGTGTCAGGCAGAACTAAATTTAAATCTAGCTTCAAACACTTAGCAGTTGTGTGAACCCTAGAAAAGTCACTTAATTTCTGCCTGCCTCAGTTTCCTTATCTGTAAAACAGGAATAACATCTACTTCACAGGGTTGTAGTAAGGATAAAATGTGATATTTGTAAAAAGCCTTGCAAAATCGTAAAGCACTACATAAGTGCTTCTTATTATTATAATACTGTCTAGATATTATATAGAAACAGGACTTCCCTCCAACTCAAAACTTTTAAAAAAGCATTTAATATTATAGTACATTTTAGTGTATATACTTCTTGAAAGGGTATAATCTTACCTGCATCATCAGATTCCTGAAACTGTGAATAATCGACCACCTTCCTGTTTCTGTAAGGAAGAATTTAAACAGCAATTAATTAGGAACAAAGGTCATAGGGCTTATTCAAGGCACCCAGAATAAAGACCACCTGTTCTATTCAACCGAATAAATTGCATATTTTATTCAACAAAAAGCTCTCCAAAAGTCACTTAAAGTTTCCTCAAGAGATTTGAGCTATTAGAACCACCATTCAATAATAGTCAGGGTGAATAATAGAAACATCTCTTTGTCAATCTTGTAACTGTATCTCAAAGATGTAGGGATTTTGAGATCCATGACAAAGAGAATGTTCCAAAACAAATTCCAACTAAGATGATACTTCTGCCCCCAAAAGACATTTTAATTTATTTAGCCCACAAGGGGCATGAAGATACAAAGAAATTCAAACTGTGACAACTAAAATTTTAAAGATCTTTTTATATTTGAAGAAGTCCATTCCCATTCACTGGACTAGGGACTACTGTACTAATTTCCAATGTGCTTTCTCATGATCTCATCCAGAAGTTAAAATGAACTTTAAAAACTAGAGTTTTACAAAACTATGATATATTTTTCACGTTAGTGATAATGCAAGATCCATATCTTCTATGATTAAAGCCCCACATCAAACTAAACAAATTGCACGTCTAGTACAGTCAAGAAATTAAATGTAGATTATTAACTCAAGAATTAACAATTCTATATGCCCAAAGGTCTATAAAACCATGCATACCCTTTGATCTAGCAGTGCCACTACTAGGTCTGCATCCCAAAAGAGACAAAAAACAAAAAGGAAAAAGACCTATATGTACAAAAATATTTATAGCAGCTCTTTTCTGGGGATAAAGAATTAGAAGTTGAGGGGAAACTCATCAAACTGATGAATGGCTGAACAAGTTTTGGTATGTGATTATGATGGAATACTATTGTACTGTAAGAAATGATGAGTAGGATACTCTCAGAAAAATCTGGAAAGATTTGCATGGGCTGATACAAAGTGAAGTGTACCATGTACAAAGTAACAGCAATATTGTAAGATAATCATCTGTGAATGACTTAGCTATTCTCAGCAATACAATGATCCAAGACAACTCTGAAAGACTTATGAACTGATGGTGTCTGAATATAGATTGAAGCATACTGTTTTTACTTTCTTTATTTTTCTCGAGTTTTTTTGTTTTTGCTCTATGTTTTCTTTCACAACATGACTATTATGGATATGTTTTGCATGACTATACACGTATAACCCATATTGCCTTCTCAGTGAGGGAGGGGGAAGAGGGAGGAAGGGAAAGAAATTGGAACTCAAAGTTTTAAAAACAAATGTTAAAAATTATTTTTACACGTAACTGGGGAAAAATAAAATACTAAATAAAAGCTAAAAAAAAAAAACTGGACAGCTCTAGTAAGGCCTCATGAGAACTTTAACATTTTTTTTTTGTTGTTGAGATTTATCTCTTTAGTTATTCACTCAATTTCTACTGCCCTGGTTACTTGTTGCCAGCTATTCTCACCTCAAGTTGGGTGCTTTTTCTTTTTATTTAAAGTTCATGGAGGCAGCTAGGTGGCGCAGTGGATAGAGCACCGGCCCTGAAGTCAGGAGGACCTGAGTTCAAATGCACCCTCAGACCAAACACTTGACAGGTACTAGCTGTGTGACCCTGGGCAAGTCACTTTACCTCAATTGCCCCCCAAAAAAAAAAAAAGTTCAGCCCTGCTCAGCAATGCAAGGGTCTAAGACATTTCCAAAGGTCTCATGACGGAAAATGCCATCCACATCCAAAGAATGAACTATGGGGTTTGAATGCAGATCGAAGCATACTATTTGCTATTTTTTTCTTCTGTTTTGTTTCCTCTTTCTGGTGGTTCCTCCTTTTGGTTCTAATTCTTCCTTACAACATTACTAATGTGAAAATATGTTTAACAGGAACGTACATGTATAGCCTATATATATCAGATTGCATGCCATCTTGGGGAGGAAGGGGAAGAAAAATTTAAAACTCAAAAGCTTATGGAAGTGATTGTTGATTTAAAAAAAAAAAAGGCTCACCAGATCTTGGTATTTATCCTCCCCAATCTAGATTGCTGAAGTATTACTAAACAATAGTAAAACAGATCAAAGTTTTATATCCACTTTTTTATTCCTAGCAATACATAAATACTTAGTTACAAAGCTGATTATTACTAGTGTCATCATAGAAAAAAAGCAGCTTTTCTCCTCATAATACTGATATTGTTAACCTTTTTATTTCATAATACCAATTAAACAAAGTGGAAAATTAAATCAAATGACTGCTTTTTATAACTGTCTGAACTAAAAATAAGTTTTCCTAAATGTTTGATATTTATCAAATATTTTAACTAAAGAAATTATCACTGTCCCTAATTATTAAAATTATATGACTTATTGCTCAGAAGACCAGAAGTTTGGTTAAGTGATCAGATTCTCCTTAATCTTCAAAGGATGCTATGTATTATTTGATACATGGATTGACTTAAAATTTGAAAATATTCTCAATGAGCATTTCCCACTATTTTAGGGACTTTTCAAAGCATTTTTTCCCAAGCCCTATTTAACACCAAGAAATCTAAGTAATTAGCATAAATATACTAATATTACTCAAGATAAAGATTTCAATTCTAGTTTTTCTTACTTTTCCAATCTTCTGCATTTAAAGGACATGAAACTCCTCCTTTAATAAAAAGCTTCAATATTAACATCCAAAATGCATGAACCTCAGAATAGCCTTAGAGGGAGAACAGTAGGACTATAATTACTTTAATAATAGCAGTCCCAGCAAGACAATAAAAATGAACTGAAAGGATTAAGAGAAGCACCATAACATCACTACAATTAAAGTGAGAGACAAGCTGGTCAAATTCAGTTTCATTGTTTCAATGTCTAACCTGAGAGGAAGATAGTAGGGATTTCTCAAAACATGCTCAGGGGATGGAACAGAGAAAGAAGTCAATATACCAACAGTGTTGTGAATCCTTCCAAATCCTTATTTTTGGTAGTTAGGTAAAAAAACCAAAAACCAAAAAACAACAAAACCTTTAAAGACAACTGAATATAATTGTGGTTAATGAATTATTCTGTTTGCCTATTATTCTAGTAGGCAAAATGTAAACTACAGAGTAAATCAGTATTTCAGAGATGAAAAGGACCTCAGCAGCCACATATTCCAACTCATACCTAAAAGAATTCCCGCATAAGTACAAAAATATTTTCAGCAGCTCTTTTCACAGCAGCAAAATCTGGAAACCAAAGAGGTGCCTGCACACTGGGGAAGAGCTAAACAATATAGTATATGAATGTAATGGGATATTATTATGCTCTAAAAAAATGAAAAAGAAAAAAGTATCATTTCAGAGGAACCTGGAAAGGCCTGTATAAATTGATGCCAAGTGAAGTAAGCAGAACTAGGAAAATAATTTATGACATTATAGAGAAAAAAATGGACTTTGAAAAACTAGAAATTTGAACAATGAAATAATATATGGTCCAGAGGACTAAAGAGGAAAACATAATAGCTACCTCCTGCCAGAGAGGAGTGGCCTTGAAATGCAGAATGAAACACATTTTTGGACATGGTCAACATGGGAATTAGTTTCATTTGATTATATGAATATTTGCTATAAGTTTTTTTCTTTTTTGGTTATTTTTCAGTTCAGAGGGAAAGAAAATATTGCTTGTTAATTAATAAAAAAGTTGTAAAAAATTAAATGGAGCCCCCACAAGTGCTCATCCAAACTTTACTTAAAAATCTCTAACAAAGGAGAACCTACTACCTTCCAAGGCAGCCCATTCCCACTATGGAATGGTTCTAATTGTGAGGAAGCTTTTCCTGACATTACGCCTAAATCTACCTTTGCAATTTCCACTCATTTCCACCAGAACATTCCTGATTCTGTGTTTTAGGGCCAAAGAGAAAAAAATTCAAACCCTTCCTCCACGTGATAGCTCTTCAACTATCTGAAGTCAATTTTTCTGTTTCCTGAAGTCATCTCTTCTACAAACTAAAACCCCCAATCCCTGGATAAGCTAGAAGCCTTACTAATTAGAGCAGGGGTAAAGCAAGGATGCCCATAATCACCTAGCTACAGCAATAAGACAAGAAAAAGAAACTGAAAGAATAAAAATAGGCAATGAGGAAATAAAAAAACTATCACTTTCCAGATGATATGATGGTATACTTGGAGAACCCTAGATAAATCAACTAAAAAAAGAAAACTAGTTGAAATAATTAAAATATGCAAAGTTGCAGGGTACAAAATAAACCCACATAAATCATCAGCACACCTATATATTATCAACAAAATCCAGCAGCAAGAGATAGAAAGAGAAATTCCATTTAAAATAACTGCAAACAACGTAAAATATTTGGGAGTCTACCTGCCAAGACAAACCCAGGAGTGATATAACATTTTTCCCACACAAAACATTTTCCCGCACAAATAAAGTCAGATCTAAACAACTGGAAAATTATTAATTTTCACTGGCTAAGCCAATATAATAACAATGACAAGTCTAAATTAATTTACTTACTCAGTGCCAAAGTACCAAAAAATCATTTTATAGAGCTAGAAAAATACAATAAAATTCATCTGGAAGGACAAAAAGTCAAGAACATCAAAGGATTCAATAAAAAAAAATGTGAAGGAAGGTAGCCTAGTACCACCAGATCTCAAACTGTATTATAAAGTGGTAATCATCAAAACAATCTGGTACTAAGAAACAGAGTGGTGGATCAGCTGAAATAGATTAGGTACACATGTAGTAAATGATCATAGTAATTTAATATTTGACAAATGCAAAGATCCAAGAGTTTTGGGGAAAAGAACTCATTACTTGACAAAAATTGCTGGGAAAATTGGAAAGCAATTTGGCAGAAACTAGGTATAGACCAACATCTCACACTGTATAACCAAGGTTAAATTCAAAATGGGCACATGATTTAGACATAAAGATTGATGTAAGCAAATGAAGAGAGCATGGAACCTCTTGCTCAACCACAAGAATGCTGAC